TCTGAATCATGGGCTCAGCATAAGTTACTGGAAGTCATGGGTCTCGTCTCTCAGCTCTAACTGCTGTGGCCGATGGGCTTTAAGCTTCCTAATTTTGGCTTAATTTCTGTCCTGTTTACTGGCTAACTCCCTAACAGATCTGCGTGTATCCCAGGTGCTACGCTCTGTATTTTTAACCGTGTCTTATTTGTGCAGGCTCGTGAGGCAGTAGAGATGCGTGCCCAGGTGGAGAGGAAGATGGCTCAGAAAGAGAAGGAGAAACACGAGGAAAAGCTCCGAGAAATGGCTCAGAAAGCCAGGGAGAGAAGAGCAGGGATCAAAACCCATGTTGAAAAAGGTACATTTCTTTGTCATTAAGACGCTATGGCTTTTTTAATACTCATAAGTGTGGGTTTGGAGTAATAATCTGAGAACTTAAAGTATCTAAATACCAGCTGAAATGTCTAAGTATGACATCAGTTTGTGTCTTTATTGGTTGATACACTGGCTGGTTTGATGGGATGCAGGTTTGAACCTCACATCAATATGTTGGTGTATACAGGTTTAGGACACTGAGTATTTTGAAGTTAATAATGCATCAGTGCAAGTGATGGCTTTCATGGACAGTTCTAAAATACTTTTTTTAAGCTTATTGCAGATGAAGGGCAGATTTGTGTAGAAGAACTAAACCATCTTTAAGTTATCAAAGGTGATAAATACAACATTCTCGCTCTTGCACTGTTGTAACTGATCTTGCAGAGCTGCAATTCTGTTGGCCAGTAGGCCCCAAAAAACCCTGCTGCCAACCTAACTAAATTGTCTCCATTGTGCTAAGTCTTCTGCTCTGATGGAAATTACACTTCAAAGATCAAGATTAGGAACTTAGAAAGCAGTTACAATCTCTTCAGAAGATGGAGGGATTTGGTCATATAATGCGAATTCCTGCTGCTAGGATGTACTAACATCTTACCAAAAGGCTGGGGGCTGGCCAGCTGGAGAGCCACTCTGTTGGAAAGGACCCAGGAGTTGTAGTGGACAATATGCTGAATATAAGCCGGCAGTGTGCACTGGCAACAGTAATGCTAAGGGCATGCAAAGCTGCATCTGCAAGAGTGTAACCAATAAGTCAAGGGAAGTAATAATTTCCTTTTACTGGTGACCTGTTAGACATCATCTGGAGTACTTTGTGCAGTTATGGGCCTCCAGGTACAAGAAAGACATTGATAAATGGGAGTCAGTTCAGGGAAAGGGCATCAGAATGATTATGGAGCTTGAGTAACTGCCTGTTCAGGACATGCTGAGAGAATAAGGCTTGTTCTGCTAGGAGATGATGTGCCATTGGGGCCAGATAATGGGAAGGTTACCCAGAAGATCATGTCACAGTGATCCCTAAATGATTATGAGAGAGCTTCACCAAGTTGCACGGTGGAAGAATGAGACAGTGGTCAATAGTTGAAGCAGGAAGTTTCAACTATGTGTCAGGAGAAAAATTTTCACCATAAGGACAAACAGCAGTGGAACAGGTTGCCTAGGAAATCTGTCAGTCTCTATCCTTGCAGGTTTTCCTCACCTGAGTGGGAAAAAGCCCTGACCAACCTGTTTTGAATTCAGCATTGATAGCAGGTTTTTTAGAATTAGATTTCCTTCCAACCTGGGTGATTTTCTGATATTGCATCACATAATGCTCTTCCAAACACTTAAATCCCTGCGTGTTTCAATGATACTTTTATGCTCAGAATTATGATATAATGATCTGTAAATGTTTTAGGATATTAATTCCTAGACAGACAATTATTCTAAGGTCTTGAAAGATGGAATAATGTAGTTGTTAGGATGTCTGCTTTGACTTACCAAGAACAGTCCCTTGCTTGGGGCATAAGAAAGCTGTGGTGTTCATGTGTTCAGTTTATTTAAAGTGTAACATTTTAAATAGTGCTAAGGGTCACTACTCTTCTGTAAAATAATACTGAATTGAATTACTATGCCAGTGTCTGTGGCATAATTAATTCAAACTTCAAATATTTGTCTATATGAGCAATCTTTACTTTTTCAGAGGATGGAGAAGCTAGAGAAAGAGATGAAATCAGACATGACAGGCGCAAAGAGAGACAGCATGACAGAAATCTTTCCCGGGCAGCCCCTGATAAAAGGTGAGTCACAAAAAAAAGCTGGTTTATTCCTGTACTGGCACTGGCTTCCCCACTAGGGAACCTACTACTGGGCTTTCCTTTTTTTGATAGAAGTGCCTGAGTTGTATCTTGTGGAGATAGTCATGGTATGAAGCACAGTTTGTTCATTGTATGAAAAGGCATTACTGTGTTAAAATACTGTAGTACTTTCTTCAAAATGTAGAATTTTCCACATGAATGGGAAAGAGGGATGTGCTGTGTTGGTTTTAGGTGGGTTTTTCTTCAGTGGGACTTAAAGTTTAGTGTTTTATGTTCATCTTTAATTAACATGTTGACAGCAAAGATTGAAACCTGAATCTGCTAATTTTGGTGAGACCAGAGTTATCAATAGTGGCTTTGTTTCTTGAAGCTGTTCATTTTAAGTAAGCTTAGATATATGAAGGTAGGCTGAAGTATCTTATTAGCTGAAGCCACTGAGATTTCTGAGCACAAATGGTTTCTGGATGCTTAAAATCTCTAGTATGTTGAAATTGGATTGCTCGGCCTTTCCAGAATATAACTACACTAATTCTTGCAAAAAACAAATATGACATTTTAGACCAAGTCAGCTTGATGTGAATTGTAGATAGTGGAAAGCAACTTTAAATGTCATGCCCAGCTGAACATAACTTTTCCAAATGTTTCCTTTGCCAGGAGACAAATTTTAAATGTTACCTAGTAAGGAAGAACAACAGTCAAAATCTGGCTCCTGAGGCAAATCGTTAGTGAGGAATACTGGATCGGTTTGCAATTGAGCGTGTCAACAAGTATGGTTTACTGATCTCATAAAACTTTCAAATTTTTAATTCAGGTCAAAGCTGCAAAGAAATGAGAACAGAGATATCAGTGAAGTTATTGCCCTGGGGGTACCAAACCCCAGGCCATCCAATGAAATCCAATATGACCAGAGGCTGTTCAACCAGAGCAAGGTAAAATACCTTTTCACAGCTTTCTATGAGAACATGCTCATCATTCCTTTGTGGGTACAAACAGAATACTAAAGAGAGGCTGTTCTCATGGTTGGTGTGGATACATTCAGAAAAAATTTCTTTACATAAGTGTTTCGAAAACAATTGATTTCCTTTATCCAGAGCCTATGCAAAAAAAAAAAAAAAAAAAAGAATACTTTAAGTATATAGCTTGATTAAAGTTTTTTTGTTGTGATTTTTCTCACTGGGGTGTGGGGAGAAAAACTATTTTGCCTTCAAGCTGCAGTGACCAAATTTTCTTCTCTTGTACAAATGTACTTACTGAATAGGAAATCTGCTTTCAGAGAGAAGCAAGTAAATACTTTCTATTTCCATTACTGCTTGTGTTAATACTTCTGAAGATACAAAGAGTTAAAAGCAATATTTATTTTCCCTGAATTTTATACTATTCAGAGATGACAAAATAGATTGGGTTTCAGCAAATCCCTCAATAGACCTGCAGTTTGTCAATCAATCTTCTTCATGTCTCCAATGAAAGACTTGCAGGCAAGGAGGGAAAGCTGATGAACCAAAATGAACAAGAAGATAGTTATACTTTCAGAGTTTATATAAGCCTCTGTGTGATTTGGATCAGTCAGCTTAAATCACATTTTCTAGAAATTCTGAATAATACACATTTCTGTATGGCTGTACTTAGCTGTTACAGACAGCTGTACTTGCAGGGCAGACTGAAATGATCCATTATTCTGAAATGCGGATGGCCTGTTGCTATCTGGAAAAGTAGGACTGAGGCCTGTAATGTGATGTTCTCTGGACTTAATCCCAAACCCACTCATATCCTCATTAAGTGCTTGGATTCATTTGAAATCAATCGTAAATCACACCATGTCATTTTTGTGCAACTGTGTAACATCATCGGTGTATTTTGTTGATAAAGTAAGTTAGCTGATGTTTTGTCAATTAATTTGTACTGTTCTGCTGTTCTTCACAGGGTATGGATAGTGGCTTTGCTGGAGGAGAGGATGAAATTTACAATGTTTATGACCAGCCTTGGAGAAGTGGCAAGGATATGGCCCAAAACATCTACAGGCCAAGTAAAAATCTGGATAAGGACATGTATGGTGATGATCTAGAGGCTCGAATAAAGACCAACAGGTAAGGAAATAAATTTAAGAAATATTGTTAATTAGTATTTTGAAGATACTCAGCTGACTATCACCTTCTCCTGCAGGTTTGTTCCTGACAAAGAATTTTCTAACTCGGATCGTAACACCAGAGGCAGGGGCAGAGATGGACCAGTTCAATTTGAGGAGGATCCATTTGGTTTGGACAAATTTCTGGAGGAAGCTAAGCAGCATGGTGGTTCTAAACGGCCATCAGACAGCAGCCGCCCTAAGGAACATGAGCATGAGAGCAAGAAGAGGAGGAAGGACTGAGTGCCTCTGCTCCTTGAGAGGTAGGGAAATGGACTGCAAGCTTGGACTTCATGCAAAAGGATTTTTAATATTGGGTGTACAGGAGGATGGCGTTGTAACACAGCAGTTCACAACTCTGGCCGTGTGGATACATAAACTAACTCTTCTACACAGGACAGCTACCTGAAGAGAGAGAAGACATGGAGACCACTTTGAAACATTTCAGAAGGGAATTAATTATTCTTTAGCAAGTTCTGACTTTGCTGATTCCCCATTGCCCAGCATCTCAGGGTAAGAATGTAGCCCCTTTCCTACAGCTTTAGTTTTTGTAGGTAGCTGAAGCTTTGACTTTATCTGTTAAGAGCTTTTCTGCTGTACATAATGATCATCTTATGCTGTAACAGATGCTGGGGTGTTAATAATTTTCAGTGTTTTAGTGTGGCTATACAGTTTATTTGAACAAGGGAGGGGAAACAGCTGGATTCTGTTTTGAAACAAGTGCTCATTCATAGTTTCTCAGTAATCTTTATTTTAGTTTCTTTACATTTAGTGAAATAAAGCCTCCTTCCACCACTCATTCACTTTGACTCTCTTTGACTGCGTCTTCTACGGATCTGCTGTTTGAGAGTGAGCTGAAAACAATGGAAATTATTGAAATTAGCTAGGCAAGAAAGTTTGTTATTTTTCATTTCTGATCACAGAAAGCAGAAGATATATTTATCACCAATTCAGTTTCATAAGCCCCAGGCCAGGGCTTTCCTGATAAGAAAGTTGAGTATATATCCGCAGCAATTGCTAGCTGTACAAGCAAAATGCATCTTAAAAGCTTGTGCTTTCAACGGGAAGTAATAAAAAGTAACTGTCTAAACCTAGCCTAGAAAAAATGGGAAAGCGCTTCATAGAGAAGCCTGCATTTTTTAAGAAATGAAAATAACTGTTTGCCTTCTGCTTTTTATTTCAATATAAAGAAGCCTCTTAGCATGCACCACTTGTGAGAGTATAGGCAGCTAAGTGCATGCGGCTATCCTTACAGCTTCAAGAACAAAAAGCAGCAAAAATTTCCAGGAAATATGTTATTTTTAGTACCTAATTTGTTAATTGCATACAGATAACATCCTAGTTCAATGCAATTTATGAAGGACCAACCTACTGCCAATCTAATCTCAGTTTAAGGAGTCTTAATTTCTGCTCCCATTTTTGTACCACAGTTGAAATTCACAGGTTAGTTCTTCTTGGGAATAGGTACTGAAGTAACCACAATCAATGATGACTTAGGCAGAAACATGAACCATGGCAAGTGAAATACTTTACCACAATCAAAATACTGCATCACTGAAGTCTCTCATCAATTCATTTTACTATCTCCTAGCATTTAAAGTCTCAAAATAAGAAATCAGTTGTCAAAAGGATATTGAAGAATTCTTATTAATTAATCAAAGGCTTGAACTGATTGTGTCTGATACACCAGCCTGCCTGTTGCTCATTGTTTCCCTCTGTATTACACCGTCTGAGTAGTTTTATCAGCTGAAGCACATGTAAGTCTGTAAGAAAATCGCCTATTTAGGGAACATACCAGATGCGAGTTTCTAATTATTTTGATACGAAAGCTGTTAATAAAATGGCTTTGGGCAGCCATTGACTCACTGTTCTTTATTCCTTATCTGTCAACACCACTGCACACTAAATGTTGGGAAAGTGGTGAGATGGCTTTGCTGTGTTTCTATGCTGCAGTGAAGCTGGATGACACAGTTGTCTGGCTCTAGCTGACCAGTCAAGGACAGACACTTTTGTATGTGTAGTAGACCATTACACTGTCTCAATGCCATACATTAATGCACTGAGATTGCCAAAGTGTTTTACTTTACTAAAATTTAAAATGTTCAAGATGGAGAGAACAAGACCCTTCACTAACGCGATTTTAGAGTTGTCTTGAACACATGAAAGCAAGCAGCTGATTTCTCCTGTAAGAAATGACAGCTGGAGAAAACATAAATTTCACTGAAGTTCGAAGCTTAGCATCACTTTCTTTGTCATGTTCCCCCTGCCACTAAACATCCAGATCAGATGTTGGAACTCACCTGCAGAAGCCTACATTATAAACTGCAAACTACTTGGAGTGCGACCTCTGCTATCTCTATGATCTTGACCCCTAACAACTCAAGTTGAGAGGAGGGAAAAAACAGAAGTTGTAATGATTTAAAAAACATTAAAAGCACACTGAGTGACAAAATTCTTAACCACACTTTGAAAGAATATGGTAATAAAGGAATTAGCACGTTACCTTGGAACCTTCAAGAATGTGGGAGTCCTTCTGTAACACATTCTGAACTTCTTCTGGAGTTGAGAATTTAATCCAGCAATAACGTCTGTGAAAGCCTGTATCTCTGTTCTAATTACCAGTTAGAAAAAAACCAAACAAAATGCAGTTACTATAGGAAATATTCACATAGGCTGTTAAAAACTTTCTACAGATATTGAATTTAAAGGTTCAGAAATTATCAGAAGAATTGGTGCACTTGATGTTTCAGGAGCCTTTTTCATATGAAGACATTTGGTGTCAGTGACGGTGTGAGTGGTCTAGCAAAGGCTGTTCTACATCCCTTTCAATCAGAATCTAGTAATAATAACAAAAAATCACAATCTTAAGAGATAGTTGAAGCCTGGAATAATGGATAGACAGTAATTTCAAACTGCAGTATTTATCTACTAATAAGCCAGTCACAACAGAACTGACATTTAAATGGCCACAGTACTTGAACAACATTCAGCAAGATAAAGCAGCTGCTTAAGGCACTAGGAAAGCAGAGTGCCATTTAGAATGACAAGCACTAACTGCACTGAAAAGAAAAACGTTATTTTTAGAAATAATTTGCCAGGCAGAAAAGACAGCTGTCAATAAACAGGTGATAATGAGGAAAAGCCAGGTATTCAAGTGCCTTCTGTCTCTATTCTGATCCCACTCAGAGCTCACAACAGCTCAGCCACTCTCATCATCAGGCATAACTGGCAACACTTCCAAACCACCTACAGGGTACTGCCCGGTTTCAGTAACACAGTGATGTCTAAATTAGGCTGTCCTACACTGATGATTTTTGTACCTCTGCGTTTTAAGCAGTAATGAAACTCCTCAAGCAATCACTGAATCTGAACGTACACAATGCATCACTTGAATCAATGATGGAGGTGGGTTTGTGGTAAGCTACCAGACTTTGTAACAAAACAATGCAGTCTGACCTGGGCTTGAGGAAAAACGTGACAGGCAGGCACATACCTAAGCTTCAAGTGTTCAAAACAACCAGCATGTTTCAAACTTTCTCCATTGCCAAACTAATCCTCAACAGAGAGTGAACCCATCAGCTCACTAACTAAAGTTTACTACACCCTGAGCTTAATTTAACAGGATTACTTCAAGTGGAGAAACAAGCAGACAGAACCTTTACACCTCAAGCAATGGCCTGCAATTTACCTGCAAAGGAATATTTTTTTTTTGACTGTTCATCTTTTAAAAAGTGCACTAGATACTACAATCCCTGCGATCTATACACTCAGAAGATAAACAGCCTAAATGACAGAGGCACTGGCAGCATCCTGCAGAAGTCACGGGTTTTGTGTTAGCCCAGCACTCTGGATAGGGTCTTAATCCGCAGCAAGAAAAGACCGTAGGTTCATACCCACATCTTTAGTTTTTGGCCAGTGCGACCAGGCACACAAAAACTTTATTCTCTGTCAGAAGAATGTCAACACAATGAAAGAGAAGCTCAAAGCACTTAAATTAATTATTCAGAAATGGCAGCATCAACAGGATGCTGAAGGATGTAGTTTGTAAAGCTGTTTGAAAGCCAACAGAAACCACTAAGCTTCAATAAGGCCTAGCGCTGGCAGATAAGTAGTGGCGCTCCTGGAAGAAGGAGCTAAGGGTAGAGAGCGCTGAAAACCTCACTAGAGTTCAAGATGAGGGGTGCAGACTGCAGCTCCAAGGAAGCGGGGAAGCTGCTTCGGGGCAAGGCCCCAGCCGCAGGAGCAGCCGGCGGCTCTTCCCCGCTTCGCCGAGAAGACACGAAGTGCAGCCCGGAGGACGCGCGGGTACTCACGAAAGGCAGCTGGCACCTCTGCACCGACCCGAACTGGGAGAAGTACTCCTTCAGCTCCTCTGCGGGAAAACGCACCACGTTACCCGGGCCCGGCGCCTCCGCGCAGCCGCGCCGCCCTGGCCCGACCCTGGCCTGTGCCGGCACACGCGGCGAGGCCGCCCAACCCCGCCAGCCCCAGCAGCGGCGAGGAATGGGAGGGGGGGCGCAGACTCACTGCTCGACACCGTCCAGGGAATCTCAGCCACGAAGATGTCGAAGAGTCGCCGGGAGCGACGCCCGGCCGCCCGCACCGCACTGGCCGCCGCCATGTCGGGACTGCGGTGAGAGGGAGGGGCGGAGAGAGGGAGGGGCGGTCCCGCCCCGGCCGGCCCGAAATGGCGGCGGCCCTGACCCGTGAGGGTGGGGAGGATGCGTTCCGCCGGCTCTTTCGCTTCTATCGGCAGCGCGACGCGTCCGACCTGCGGGGCGTGGTGGACTTCTCTGCGCCGGGGGGCCAGGTAATACTGGGCTGCTTCTGCCTGTGCCCCGCGGCGAGCGGCTCGGAGCGCGTTCCGCCCTGGGCGCGGTGTCTCAGTGCGGGGCTGTGGCGGTGTCACTGCAGCCTGCTCTTTCCACCTGCCGTTTCCTTTCGTGCCCGACGCCGAATCCCTTGTGCCGCCTCGTTTCTGTCTAGAGGACGCTGCACTCGAGCGCCGAGCCTCTTACAGGTCCCTGTGCTGGTTTAAAAGTGAGAGCGTGACCCGAGCGGGACAGCTGGGAAGGGCCCGGGTCCGCCCGGGCTGTCCCTGGGCCGTGGGACGCTGCTCGACGGCACAGGGTGCCGGGCAGCCGCCCCTGGCCAGCGCCATGCCTAGTCACAGATTTACTACTTTTCCTTGTGTTTACTTTCATAATATTTCATTAGCTCCCTACACTGCAGTAGGGGATCCTCAAAGCCTCTAATAGAACCACGTGATACTTCAGCAGCAGAATGTATGGGCATTAAAAACGCCGAGTTTCGCTCCAGGAACTGACACTGTTTCCTGGGCCTGCTAGCCCTTGTCTTGGTCCTGAAATACCTGGGTGAGCTGGAATCAGCTTCCACTTGCTGTACTGCCTTCCCCCCGCTTCTCCTTTCTCGGGCCTGTATAATAAATGCTTGGCTTAGTCATCAGGATGAGTTAAGCTGTAAGAGTGGATTGGGGAATAGAGTCATCAGCACAGCTGAAAGTAGCAGCCATCCATCATAGTAGTTTGCCGTGTCTACAGTGGTGAAGAAATGATCCTTAAAACTTGTCTTCGGTTTTGTCACCTCACAAAAGAATGACACAAATCTGCTAAAGTGCTGTTATCCAGGGATTTCCTACTTATGAGCTTATGTCAAAAAAAGGAGTGAAGAATATAGTTAAAATGAAACTTTGCCTAATTTTTCATTGTTTCAATGCTTAGTCTTTTCTTTTTAGTGTTCTATTAAGCTATTTATTTTTCTATCTTTTTGGACTATAATTTTGCTGTTGCTAATGAAACATAAAACCTGACTCATATGAAATTGTTAGAAGCAAAAGAATTAACTAAGGAAGTTGTTAACATCTCAGCCTTACTTGAGCTTGCAGGAATCCTGTATTTGGTAAAGGATTACAGCATTATGGCTCTTCTGGGAAATTCAAAGTATTTGAGAACATCACAAGGATCTGTCCATTCTTTCAATATGACTCTTTTTTGTGCCTGTTACCTTCTAAGATCAGGTAGCAGCTTACTAGTGAAAACATCTTTTATTCCTCTTTCCACCAAGTTAAAAACATCTGGCATTTCTCTTTAAGACCTACAGGCCAGGCAGATTGGCCTAGATAATATTGCTTCTTTTTTCTCAGAAAACTGCTTCATGCAGTTGAGCTCTTCAGTGAAGTGTGACATAGCCCATCTGCCCTGTTACCAGGCTTATTTAACTGATTCAGCACATGTAATTCTTCAGCTCAGAAACACCTCCTGTTCTCCAGAAGCTCGGGCAGTAGCTGGTTTGGAAGCACTTTGAGCAGGCAGTGAGGTGGCAGAGTTTTGGTCAGAGGATGAGACTTCCTGGGGACGCTCTGTGGACAGGACTGTGAAGTAAGCTCAAGGCTGGCATTCACAAAGCTGCTTTTGACAAAGAGCTGAAAAATTGGTAAAATTGAGTATATTGCTAAAAGATGCTGTTCAGCAATAGTTCAGAATTTTTCAGAAATTCTATGTATGTAATTTAGTTCTGTTGCTCAGAAAATGTTAACCAGAGCTGTCAGCTGCAGAGAGACTGATTTACGCATGCACCACTATGGAGGCTGTGTGCAAAGGCCTTCATTTGATACACATTTTAAGTGTCATAGACAAAGTCTTGCAGTCTCTGCCTATGTATTCCTTCTGTGCCTGGCCATCTCGCCTTATATGAGCCTCTGCTTTTCCACTGCTACATGGAGAGCTGGACTGGGGAGTTAAGCCAGAACAAAACCAATTTGCTTTTGCCTTGCCCTCCTCAAGACAGTTCCCAATCCTAAGGGAAGAAGGGAGTGAGAACACAGTAGAATGAGTTTGGTGGGTTTTTTCCAGCAAATGTTAGCTTAAATACATGTGGTGTTGTAACATAAGGGAGTATGTCGAGTAAATACATCTTGCCAAGCCTTGAGCTGTTGATCCTGCTGTTTGGAACAGAATTGGCAGAGTGCCATTCAGAGTTGACAGAGTTTCTGTAGTCCTTCATATCCGACAGCTTTAGCTACTTCATTGCTGTTCTGCTTATCCTTCTGTAAATTAGAGATGAGAATAGTCATCTACCCTCTAGGATCATGGGCAACCTGGTTTTGAAATGAAAGTGTAAAGCGTTATGAGTATGTTGCTCTCTAATGGAGGTTGATAGTTACCAGAATGTTTTATAATTATGAGGCTGTACTGTGGAAATGGACAAATCATGATGAATTTTTTCTCATTGGTATATATTGTTTGGGTTTTTTTATGAGTGGGGGACATCTCATCCCTAGATAAAACCTGTAAGTACCTTTTGATTCTTACGTTCAGTGTGTGCTGGCTCTGTTCACCCTGTCCTGGTCACAGCTGTTTAGACAGTAGTTTTGTGTACATTTGGCATTTTCACGAGTTACCTTCAAACATGGTAGCTTCCTTTTAGATGCTATTTTTAGATGAGTTTTGTGTTTCTCACTCTTTTTTTAACCAGATCTCTTTTATTTTTCCAGGTGTTCAGATCACAGCTCAGTATTTCTTCAGTCAGTGATCAAGATGCCTACAGAGCAGGATTACAGCCAGTTAGCCAGTGGAAAGCCTATGGCCTCAGTGGGTATCCAGGTAGGTCCCTCTGATTTCAAGGAAAATTAAACAAAACCTCATTGCTTTGAATTCATGCAGTTTCAATCTTATTTTTCTTGCCCTGCCTGAAAAAGCTATTTTGGTTTGCCTAAGTGTAATTTAATGTTGTCGTAAGTGCATGAGGACAAACAAATCAGCTAAAGGGTGGGATACAGCAATAATTATGAAGGTGAGAAGAGCCACTTGTTTCACAGTGAGATCAGCCAGACCGTAGCTCATGAGAATGGACTCCTGTTGTGTTTGGCAGAGACTGTATTTCTGTAGAATCTGTTTTTTCTCAATATACATCATGCTCATTGGGGTACATGGCTGAAATGCAGTAGTTTCACAGTGGAAGTGTCGCATCTACTTGTCAGTGCAGGACACAGAGTTCAGTAAGTGAATAAGAACCTTTTGGCCTATTCAATATGCAGAGTAATTTCATTAAGCAGGTTATTTTAGAAGTGGAAATGTGTGTTAGGTTTGCAGTTTACCTGGTATAATCATAGAGCAGTATTAGGTTGGAAGGCACCTCTGGAGGTCTAGGCCAACACCCTGCTTAAAACAGGAAGAAGATGCAAGTTAGATCAGGATGCTGAGAGCTTTGTATGGGTAAATTCTGGAAATTTAGAGAGATTACATGCCCTCTCTGGGCACCCGTATCAATGTTTGGCCATGTCTTTTTCCTGAACCTCATATCAGTTAAAAATTTGTCTTGCTATTACTTGTGACCATTGTCTCTCACAATCTTGCTGTGCACATCTGAGAAGAATCAGGCTCCCCTCCTCTCTCACGCTTGTGGGTGGTGCTCACCAATACCAGGATGTCACTAGCCCTCACAGTTTGTCCTCAAGGCAGCCTGGCTTTGGTTTGGAGCTGCTCTTGACCCTTGGGCCATACTGTTGCATGGTGTTGTTCTGCCCCAGATGCAGAATTACCACTGTTGAACTTCTGAGGGTCTCTTTAGCCCATTCTTCGTTTGTCAAAGTCCTTTTCAGGGGCAATACTAGCCTCCGGTAGATCCACTGCTGCCCCAATTTAGTGTCATCTGTAAGTGAAATGAGGATGAGCATCCCATCACCCACGTTGTTGATGTAATGTAATTATCTTTGCCCCAGGATCAAAGAATTCAGCTCATAACAGCTGCTGGTTAGACTTCGAATTGTCAAATCACTATTCTTTAAGCCTGGTGATCCATCCACCTTTTGCTTATTCTTTCAATTTGCCCAAAAAATTTATGGCTCCCAGTTTGGCTCCAATCCAGTGCTGTAGAAGACCGAATGGAAAACTTAAGCTAAGGTAAACATAATCCCCTGTTTTCCCCTTGCCTGAACATCTCACTCTAGCACACAGTAAGGCTGATTAGACAAAATTTGCTTTCCATGCTCTGTGTTCCCAACCACCACGTGTCTAGAAGTTGCTGCCGTGAAAGTTTGCTTCATAATTTTATCAGGGGTTTTGGTAAGGCTGATGAGTTTGTAGTTCCCTAGATCCTCCTTACTTCAGGAATTTCTGTTTGATTAATTATGGTTTTTTTCTCATGTTTCTTTCCATTCACTGGGACCTCAGTTTCTGTGTGAGTTGCTTTGAAGCCAGCCTACCATTTCTGAAACTGAGGCAGCCATGCTACCCATCTGGAATGTTTAATACACAGGGAATTGAATAACTTCAGGAGAAAGTTCTTGCCTCTGTAAATGTTTTGTTCCACTTATCTGTCATATTATAGTTGCCCTTGCTTGGTCTGCTTGTCATTTACTGCTGTCTAAATGTCTTTCCTAGTAATTACATAGGGGGTGTGGGGAATCACAGGTGTTCCACTTAACTGCATTTCTCTTCTGCTTTGGCAGAGGAAACCTTTTACTAAAATGAAATGCAAATACATTGACAAATTATCTGTCCTGTTTAGAATCAAGTCATGTGTGCACTTGAGGAGAATAATACTTCATCATTTTTCAGCTACCTTTATCTGGGCATCCTAAGACAGTAGGAGATGTGTAACCAGCTGTCCTAATAGCCTTCTAAGGGAAGTAAGAATT